CGAGGTGCTCAGCTTGCTCAGTGCATCCTACGTCTTTGTCAGCAAGTGCTACTCTCGTCGCGTGCGGCTTTGGCCTTCAGTGCGCCGAGAGCTGACCTGGATGCGAGCGCTGCTGCCGCTGGTGTGGGCGGATCTGCGCGGCGCGTGGGCCCCCGGCGTGATGGCCGTGGACGCCTCGATGACGGGCTTGGGCGCGGTGGAAAGCTCCGCGGACCCCCACGACGTCGGTCGCATCGGCCGAGTTCGAGAGCGCTGGAGGTTCAAGGAACACGAGCTGGTGGCCGAAGGCTCGCGTGCACGCTCCTTGCGTGAAGGCGCCGTTGGCGACTCCCCGTTCCCCGACGTGCCGTCGGACTTCTGCAAGGCCGATTCGTGGAAGACCGTGGCCTCGTGGCGGTGGCGCCATCGTGCACCCATCCACCTTCTGGAGGGCGAGGCGCTGCTGTGGGCCATGCGGCGGCAGGTGCGGCGAGTGGCGCATCATGGGTGCAGGCTTCTCTTTTTGTCAGACAGCATGTGTATTTGCTGCGCAGTGGCAAAAGGAAGAGCTTCGGACTTTCCCATACTCGCTCAGTTGAGACACTTCACAGCTCTTCAGCTCGCATCGTCTTGTCGTGTGTCAGCGCGATGGATTCCTTCAGAGTGGAACCCCGCCCACGGCCCTTCAAGGCGGTTCGAGCCTCGCCGTTTGCGGGGTGATGGAGCGCCGTCGGCTCGTGGCGGCCGCCCCGAGCGCGCAGCCGCTGCCTGCTCCGAGTGCGCCGGCGAGCGGCCATGGGCGGAAGCGCCGCCTGGGCTCGCCGGGCCGCGCGCGCTCGGGTCAAGCGAGGGCCAGTGCCAGACGCCCCCGGCCTGCTGCCGCGACCCGGAGGTCGACAGCCTTGCCGTGGCAACGCCTCCTGGGCTCGAGCGTGTCAGGACTGGAGCTGGAGGCGGTGAGGCCCTCTACCCAGCAGAACTACCTGAAGTGCCTCAGTGGCCTCTGCAACTGGCTCGGAGTGGAGACGCTTCCCAGCTGGAGCGCGCTGGAGTGGGACGACGCACTGCTGCAGTACCTGAGCGACGAGTTCGCGCAGGGAGTGCGGCCGAACAGGGCTGCGAAGCTGTTGTCGGCGGTGCTCTGGGCGCGACCGGCGCTGGGGCGGCCCTTGCGGGTGGTGCTGCCGAGGAGCAGCCGGGCGTTGCTGGGCTGGAAGCGCAAGCGGCCTGGCCGCTCTCGGCCGCCGCTTCCTTGGCTGGTGCTCTGCGGCGTGCTGGAGATCCTGCTGCTGATGCGCGAGGTGGCGATGGCGTGCGCTCTCTGCCTCATGTTCCACTGCTACCTTCGGCCCGGGGAGCTCCCGGCGATGAAGGCGTTTCAGCTGGTGCCGCAGGCTGCAGGGCTGCAGGGCGGGTTTCGCTGGTGGACGCTGCTGCTTCATCCAGAGGAGCTGCTGGTGCCCAGCAAGACTGGCGAGCTGGGCGACTCGCTGCCGCTGGGCGCGCCCGAGCTCCAGTGGCTTACGCCCGCGCTCAGGGATATGAAGGCGCGGTTGAAGCCCCGCGAGCCGCTGTGGAGTTTCGGCTACGCGCAGCTGCGCGAGGAGCTCGAGGGCGCGCTGGCGGTGCTGGGACTTCAAAGTCTCGGTGCCACGCTGTACTGCCTACGGCACGGAGGAGCAAGCCACGATCGAATCGTGGGGAGGAGGTCGCTCGAGGAGGTGGCCAAGAGAGGCAGGTGGCGAGCTCGCCTGTCCGTGCGGAGGCACGAGAAGCACGGCCGCCTGGCGCTGCAAGTGGCGAAAGTGCCGCCCGTGGTGTTGGAGCGGCTGCGACTCAGCATGCAGAGGCTGGCGCAGCTGTTCGCCCACTGCTCAACGCTGCGCTCCACAGAGTGCGCCTGGGGCGAGAGAGGGTCGCCGTCGAGGTCTTCGCTGGGTCGGGCCGCCTCGCCTCAGCGCTTCGTGCCAGAGGGATCCCCACAATCGAGTGGGACATCACTCGAGGAGCGCAGTTTGATTTCACCAAGGCGCCCAGTGTCGAAGTTCTGAAAGGATGGATTCTCAGTGGTGAGGTGCGCATCTTGTGGTTAGGAACCCCGTGCACTTCTTTCTCGTTGGCCCGTAGGTACACCAAGTCTGGGCCGGGACCTTTGAGGTCCAGGGAGTTTCCTTTTGGACTGCCGGATCTCTCAGGTCCCGATCATATGCGAGTGCAGTTAGGTAACCGTTTGATGCGTGTCTCTGTTGTGCTTGCTAAGTTAGCTCACACTAGAGGGATCCCTGGAGGGCTCGAGAATCCCGCTTTTTCATGTCTTTGGCTGTGTCCGCCTGAGCTAGGTCTCGGTAGGCTTCCCAATGTTCACGATGTTTTCACGGACTTTGTATGCGGGGTGAGCCGTGGCGTAAACGAACACGGCTTCGCCTCTGGCACGTTTCTTCGGAGCTTCTTTGGCGAAACCACGGTAAAAGGCATTTGTGAGAGGTCCCAGAGGCCTCACCAAGTGTTAGAGGGCAAGGCCCCCGGTGGCCAGTTTTGGACTGCAGTAGTACAGCCGTGCCCAAAGGCGCTGTGCAAGGTCCTTGCCAAGTCTCTTGAAGATGCGTGAAAGAATCGTCGGCTCCTTCGGTTGTGGGACATTTGTAAATGCTAGGCGGTATTACCAGTACACTAATGAATCTGGCCGTGAATATGGCCCAGAGTTTTTTACTTGTTCGATGCTGCTGCGTTCTGTTGTCACTGTTGCCGATGCCTCGCCCCAACGCCCTCTCAAGCTTGTGCTGGAGAAAAATAGAAGGCCTTGGAGATAGTTTATCGGGTTGGCCTGTCAATTTGTTGATCCGCAACCGTTGGATCTAATCAGCCGCGCGAGCCGCCCGTCCCTCCCTCCCTTCTCTGCTCTTCCGCCTTTCAATCCCACACGAATTCAGAATTCAACAGGCCCAGAGTTTTTTACTTTTTTGATGCTGCTGCGTTCTGCTGTCACTGTTGCCGATGCCTCGCCCCAGCGCCCTCTCAAGCTTGCGCTGGAGAAAAATAGAAGGCCATCTTGAGCCGTCTTGGAGGATGTTTTGTGGACGCTGAGGTGCTTTACGCGGCCTTCCACGACCCTCGCGGGACGGGCCGAAGCACCAGAGGGAGTTCTCGTTTGAACAAAGAACCAAAACCAAAACCGATAGGATCGGGCACGCCAGGCACCCCTGCGATGAATCGACAGAGGGCGGGTGATCGAAGACGCCTACGGCGAATCACCGCCGCCCCTTGCATGTTTGGAAGCGCCTATGTGGCCGAACGTTGAGGCCAGACCTGCCAAGCTATCGGGCCATGTGTTCCCCGAGTCGGTTTGGAAAGCCTTCGGGGAACACGTGGGCATCTTGAAAGTCATCTTGGCCGTCTGGAGGCCATTTTGACCCTTTTCGGGCCTTCTTGGAGGACGTCTTGGAGGGCTCTGGGGCCGTCTTGGAGGCCATCTTGAGCGTCGTGGGGTCCTCTTGGGGCCGTCTTGGGGGCCTTTCGGGGTCGTGTCTTGGGCCTCTGACGCCGTCGGAGGCCGTTTGAGGGGCCTCTATGGGCCGACTTGGGGCCCTCTTGGAATGCTCCAGGGCCGTCTTGGAGGCCATCTTGGGCGTCTTGGAGGCCATCTTGGGCGTATTGGAGGCCTCTTGGGCCGTCTTGGGGCCCTCTTGGGGCTATCTTGGAGGCCACTTGGGCCGTCATGGGCCCCTCTTGGGGGCCTCTTGGGCGATCTTGGGGGGCCGTCTTGAGCCGTCGGAAAGCCGAAAAGGCGCAAATGCCAAAATCCTTTAAAAACCTATGGAAAATCACGGATTTTGGCCTCTTCGGGCCCTCCTGGAGGATCTCTTGGAGGCCTCTTGGGCCGTCTGGGAGGCCTCTGGGGGGCCTCTTGGGCCGTCTTGGGCCGTCTTGGACTCTCTTGGGCCGTCTTGGAGGCTGTCTTGGACCATCTTGGGCGGACTTGGAGGCCATCTTGGGCCATCTTCGCGATTTGTTGAGGATGTCCCCAGCGAAACGGCCGTTTTTGGAGCCGTCTTGGGCAGGAAATTGGGGAATTGGAGGCCTTCCGGGTGGCCGGCGGGACGTGCCGGAGCCCCAGTGGGGGAGTTCTTTGGGAAAAAGAACCAAAACCAAAACCGAGAGGGTCCAGCACGCCAGGCACCCCTTTGCTAAAGCAAAAGGGGGCGGCGGATCTAGTGGCATTCGGCCCACTCCGCCACCGTGCCTGAGTTGTAGGTCACAGGCCTCTGATGCCTGTGGGGATCTCTTGGGAAGCCTCTCTGAACCCTCTGGGATTCGATTTGGGGGTCTCTTGGGGGCATCTCGGAGCCTGATTTGGGTCTCTTGGGAGCCTCCTGGATCTTGTGGGGGACCTCGTGGGGGTCTGCTGGCGGTCTCGAGAGCTATCTTGGGGCGAAGGGCTCGAACTGTCGGCTCGGGCTCCTCCTCTGGGGCCTCTCTTGGACCCTCCTTGGGTTGGGGCCCTGTTGGGCTCTCTTGGGTGCCTTCTTGGGCCATCTCGGGGCTGTCGTGGACCGTCTGGGGACGCTCTCGGGCCATTAGGGGCCTCTTCGGCAGTGCTGGAGCTTCGACCCCCCGGAATGGCGAGAGCACTGAAATACTTCAAATACCAATGGGAAGTTAACGATTTGGGCATCTCGGGGCCCTCTTGGGAGGCATCTTGGAGCCCTCTTCGGCCGTCTTGGGGGCCTCTTGGGCCGTTTTGTGGGCCATCTTGGGCGTCTTGGAGCGCTAGTTTGGCGACTCGGAGCCATGTTGTATCGTTTGGGGCGCCTCTTGGGGCCCTCTTGGCCCGTGATCGGGGTCCTCAGGCCTTTGGAAAAGTCACGCGGGGAAGCCCGAGAGCGCACGGGAGCGCCGGGAAGATTTGAGATGTTGCCTTCCCTCCTTCACTTGCCCTTATTAATCAAATGTCAACATTGAGAACATAGTGAAGAGAACTCTAGAAGCCAGGGGGACACGCCACTTCGTGCCTCGAAGCACAGTTGCGGATATCTACCACGGCTCCGACGGCGAAAAAGAGTTAACCTTGTTTGGCAACCTTGTGCGCGAGGTGCTCAAGGACGTTCGGGAACAGCGGTTTAAGTGGCTGGGGCCAGGCAAGGACACCATCGTAGCGGAGGAAAGCAGCAAGTCCTCGCTCGAAGTTGACAGCGATCCGGAGGGGAGCGAACCTGGCAATGATTGCGGGGCGGCATCAGAGGCGCTGACGGCGATGAATCCCAGCTCCGAGCAGCTCGCTGAAATTTAACAGGGCTTGTAGCAGTAGCCCAAGCGCGACGCGAGCGCGACGATCCGTCCGAACAGGTTCCCCTATCCCTCGAGGTCGCCCTCGTTCTCTTCAAGGGCGCTCCAGTCCACGAGGACTGAAGGGAAGCAGGCGTCCCCGTTGCCAGCAGCGCTGACACCTGCTGGAACTGGCAGTCGGAGGCGCTTCTGGCTTCCGCAGGAGCATTTTTCCTGCCCAACAGGCTGCAGGAAGAAAAGCTTGCAGCTGCGTTGCACTTCTCCATCAGCCCCAACAGCTTACTGATTGGAGTGCTGTTGTGATGGGAGCTAGTTCCGTCCGAGGGAGCGGCGCAACGAGACATCCTCAACAATAGAGTGGTCGGGGCCGTTTCGCTTGAGACATCCGCGCAATTCTGAGCTCCGAGATGCCGCGCGCGAGGTGGTCTGGCGCGTTTCGCCTGAGACATCCTCGCAACTCTGTACGCCGAAATTCCGCCTGAGACGCTCACAGTTCGGAGCCCGAGATGCCTCCCGCGAGATGGTCCAGCCCGTTTCGCCTGAGACATCCTCGCCACCCTCGCTTCCGAGTTGGCCAGGATTGGTCCGCGATTCGGCGTTTCGCCTGAGGCATCCTCGCACCTCCGGGATCCGAGATGCCGCGGGCGATGCGGTCAGGCGAGTTTCGCGTGAGACATCCTTGCAACTCTTGGCTCCCAGATGCCGCGAGCGAGGTGGTCTGGTTCAGACCAGCATTGGGCCGGGATTGGGCGTTTCGCTTGAGACATCTTCGCAATTATGAGCTCCAAGATGCCGCGCGAGAGGTGGTCCGACCCGTTTCGCCTGAGACATTTTTGCAAATTTTTGATTCGAGATACCGCGCGCGAGGTGGTCCAGCCCGTTTCGTTTCACAGATCTTCACAACTCTTACTTCCGAGATGCCGCGTCAGACGTGGTCCGGCCCACTTCGCCTGCGACATCCTTGCAACTCTGGGCTGTCAGAACGTGTGCACAAGGTGGTCCGCCCCGTCTCGACTGAAACATCCTCGCAATTTGGGGCTCCGAGATGCTGCGCGCGGGGTGGTCTGGCCCGTTTCGCATGACACGTCTTCGATATGTTGTGTTCCAATTGAGAGGAGGGAGGATAGAGCAGGGGTCTCACCCAAACGACCATTTGGATTCACTTCAGTTGCCGCCTTAGCATCATCGCAACTTTGTGCTCCGAGATGCCGCGAGGGAGGTGGTCTGGCGCGTTTCGCCTGTGACATCCTGGCAACTCTGTGATCCGAGATGCCGCGCGCGAGGTGGTCCAGCGCGTTTCGCTTGAGACGTCCTCGCAATTCTTGGCTCTGAGATGGTGCGCAAGGTGGTCCAGCCCGTTTCGCCCGAGAAATACTCGCAATGGGCTCCGAGAAACTTTGAGCAAGGTGCTCTGGCCCGCTTCGCCTGAGACGTGCTCCCAATGCGAGGCTCCAATGTGCTGCGCGCGAGGTGGTCTGGCCCGTTTCGCCTCAGACATCTTCGCAACTCCGTGCTCAGAGACGGAGGTGGGAGGAGGAATCAGACCCAAACAAAGAACTTTGATTATTTCTCTGTTGTCGAATTGTGCTCTGGAAGGGTCTGCGCGCCGCCTGAGACATCCTCGCAGCTCTGAGTTCCCAGATGCCGCGCGCGAGGTGGTCCGGTTCAGACGTCCTCGCAGTTCTGACTTTCGAGATCCCGCGAGCGGGGTGGTCCGGCCCGTTCCCAGACATCCTCACAGGTCTGAGCTCCGAGGTGCTGCGCGCGAGGCAGTTCTGCCCGTTTCGCCTGAGACATCCTCGCAGTCTGGGGCTTCGAGATGCTGCGCGCGAGATGGTTCAGCTCGTTTCGCCTGAGACGTCCTCGCGCTTCCGGGCTTCGATATGCCGCGCGCGAGGTGGTCTGGCCCGCTTCGTGTGAAGAATCACTGCAACTCTTGGTTTCGGGATGTCGCGCGAGAGATGGTCTGGCCCGTTTCGCCAGAGACATCCTCGCAACCCCTGGATCCGAGATGCTGCGCGCGACGTGGTCTGTTCTGTTTCGCCCGAGACATCCTCGCAACTCTGGGCAAACGAATTAATTGAATACACCTTAGGCGATGCTTAAGAAAACCTAAGTTTTCGTCCAGAGTCGATTATTCTTAATTTTTCAATATAAATCCCAAGATTTTGATAGAAGTTCTGGGTTTTATTCCATTTCTGAGACTATGAATTTCTTAACCCATGATTTCTTGAGCATTTCGCAGGTTGTACAATGGTGTTGTCGAAATGTGTTCTGGGATGGGTCTGGGCACCCATTGCCCGAAGGAGGAGGAAGCCGGCGCCGAGGCGCGCGCACGATTCCACGGTACGTTGCAAGGGCTTGTCGGGGGGGAGCCATGATTGAGCAAGTCGTGGAGATGCCTCGAGCAAGAGCGCGGTGAGCAGGGAGGAGGCATGATGGGGGAGGAGAAAGGGAGGAGGAAAGAAGAATAATTACAGTTTGAGGGCATCACTGGCGAGGGTGCCTCCTGGAAGCGGCATTAAGAGTGCGAAATAATCCATGGCATGGCGGAGGAAGCAAGACGATGAGCAGGAAGCGGCAAAGAAAAGGAGGATGATAAGGTAGATGATGATGACGCTGCTGATGATGATGCTGATGCTGCTTATGATGATGAGGATGCGGATGTTGGTGATGATGATGACGATGCTGATGGTGATGTGATGCGGGTGATGACGCTGGTGGTGATGATGGTGGTGATGGCGATGATGATGCTGATGATGCTGATTGCGAGGGTGAGTATGATGATGCTGTTGGTGATGATGACGCTGATGAGGAGGAGGAAAATGACGCTCATGCTAATGATGATGATTCTTATGATGATGACGATGATGCTGATGCTGATGCTGATTTTGCTGATGATGAGGAGCAGGAGGAAAAGGGGAGGAGGTTAAGGAGAAGGACGATGAGGAATAACGCCAGGAGGATGAGCAGGATTCGCATGAGGAGGGGAACAAGGATGAGTGAGATGAGGAGGTACCGGCGGAGGAGGAGGAGGAGGAGGAGGAGGAGGAAGAGGAGGAGGAGGAGGAGGAGCAGGAGGAGGAGGAGGAGGAGGGAGAGGGGAGGGGGGAGGAGGAATCTGAAGAAGAGGTTGACGAGGAGGAGGAAGAGGAGGAGCGAGAAGAAGAGAGAAAGAGAGAGCGATGAGGAGGAGGAGGAAGAGGAGGAGGATGAGGAGGGGAGGAGGAGGAGGGGAGGAGGAGGAGGAGGAAGAGGAGGAGGAGGAGGAGGAGGAGGATGAGAAGGTGTAGTGGAAGGGGGAGGGCGAGGGTGAGAAGTAGAATGACGTGGATGCGGAGGAGGAGGAGGAGGAGGAGGAGGAGGAGGAGTTGGACGACGATGATGACGATGACGAAAAGCTCGACGACGACGCCGAAGGCGCAGGCGGATCAGGAGCAGGAGGACGCGCGAACACTCAGGAGCCATCTTGATTCGAAAAGCGCGGTTTGGGGATGCAAGCTCTGGCTAGATTCTTCTGAAGGGCAACCAATAGTCTCCGTCCGCGTAGACTTGCAGTTGTCGTCATGTGGCTGCCACGCGGTGTCACCCAAGTTTTGCCGATACTTTTTGGTGCACCACTACCTTTTCGTTACGACGAATCATGGCTGCACCCTGAGCCCCAGGAGCCACGCTTCAGGTATTTTTGTTTAGTGTTCGATTTGCAGCAGTGCGGCAAGCGGTCCACAACTGGACGTCCTGGCTGTTGTGCCGCTTCTTGCTGCCACAGCTCCCGTCCCCCCCGTCGGCCTCCGCCGCCGCCGCTGCCTCTCCTCCCCCCCTCTCCCCGATCCTGCTCTCGTGCTGCCTCCTGCCGCCCCCCCCAAGTCCCAGGATCCTTTAATCGACCCCTATCCCCATCTCCATCCCTATACAGATCTCATCCTCTCAGCACCCCAGTTGAGGATATGCCCCTCGAAACCAGAAGAAAACTGCCCATATCCCCCATCCAGGGGGGCAACACGGCCAGTGGGGCCCAGCCTCCTCGTCTCCCCCCATCCCATCCCCCTCTGGCTTTTCACACTCTTCTCGATTCGCCCCCAGACTACTTACTGAACGGAGCGCTGCTGTGGTAAAAGCTAGTTCCCGCCGAGGGACCCCCGCAAGGAGATATCTTCAAACAGATAGGTTGGTCAGTGCCGTTTCGACTGAGTTATCTTCGCAGTTGTTGTTTCCGATTTGGCCGGGTTTGAGCGTTTCGTCTGAGACAATCTCGAATTTCTGAGTTCTGAGATGCCGCTCGCGAGGTGGTCCAGCGCGTTTCGCCAAATGCATCCTCGCAGCTCTGGGCTCTGAGATGCCACGCGCGAGAGGTGATCCAGCGCGGTTCGCCCGACACGTCCTTGCAATTCTGATCTCCGAGATGCCGCACGAGAGGTGGTCTGGCGCGTTCCGATTGGGACATCCTCGCAACTCTGGCTTCCAAGCTGCCTCTTTCGCGAGTTGGTCTGGGCCGTTTCGCGTGTGACGTCTTCCCAATTTTGAGAACCAAGATGGTGGCGCGAGAGGTGGTCCAGTGCGTTTCGCGTGAGACATCCTTCCAAATTTGAACTTCGAGATGCCGCGCGCGAGGTGGTCTGGCCCGTTTTGCCTGGTACGTCCCCGCATTTCTCGGTCAAAGATACCCGCGAGAGGCGGTCAAGCGCGTTTTGCCAGATACATCCTCGCAACTCTGGCTTCAGAGATGCCACTGGCGAGGTGGTCTGGCCCGTTTCGCTAGTGACACCCTTCAAACTCTGACCTGCGAGATGCCGCGAGCGAGGTGGGCGGTCCGGCGCTTTTCGCCCGCGACATCTTCGCATGTCGGCGTTCCGAGATGCTGCGCGAGAAGTGGTCTGGTCCGTTTCGCCTGAGATGTCTTCGAAACTCTGGGCTCCGCGAGATGCCGCGCGAGAGGTCGTCTGGCGTGTTTAGCCTAAGAGATCCTCGCAACTCTGAGATCCGAGATGCCGCGCGCGAGGCGGT